GCGGCGCACAATGAGACTGATTAGCGTAATGATAGGAAGGCGACTGAGGCTGCGCTCCGACCGAGAAGCATTGGCTACTATTGTTGTTGCGGCGCACAATGAGACTGATTAGCGTAATGATAGGAAGGCGACTGAGGCTGCGCTCCGACCGAGAAGCATTGGTTTCTATTGTTCTTGAGAAAGAGTAAAGGTAGCGTGATGTGCCTTTTGAATTAAGACAATTCATCCTAGCGGTATTACACAATCCGCGTCGGATACTCTGAAATATGACCTTGAGATCAGACAGACAGAAATTCAAAGAAAAAAATTATTTTAAAACCTTTCAGTCTTAGCACGGGTTTAAAAATGAGCCGTTTACAAAGCAAAAATATAGTTTGAAAAGTAAAAACCAAACATTTTAGACACTAGGTCATCACCGGGATAAATAAGCACCGTCCGCTAAACTAATGTTCCTGATGTTTTGAACAGATGATTTTGAGGGTGGGGAAGGTATTCTTTTTCAGATTAACGCTTGAGTGGGTATGATAATTTCAACGTGAGAAAATTAGCCAAAATTGAAAGAAACGACGGTAAACGACGTCGAGTTAAGATAGATTTTATCTTTGGCATAGTCAATGAGGGATTTAATATAAAGCAAAAAGATTTCGCTCTAATAAGAACCAAAAATGATTTGTTTATTTTGAGGATCGAGAAAGAGAGGCAGCTGTGTTTGTAGCACAATAAACCCAAGAGGGTCGTTTAAAATTTTTACTTTGTTTTGACTGTCTAGCCCTTCTCCCGCTTTCTGCGACTTCGTCGCAGACATTGTCCAAAAGTTACAATCAACCACACAAGCGAGTAAGTCATTGTGTGTTAGAAGCGCAGAGGCGTTTTGATAGTGAAGCTTAGGATGAAGTATTTAAATAAGCTTTGCGTTTGAAAAGTCTCCAGTTTTTCTTTTCCCTTCTTTTAATTCCTTTTGCAGATTTCTATCAATTTTCTTGTACTTATTAGGCAACAGCGGTTGATTCTTAATGTTTTCGTTGAAAATTTTGCGCGGAGAATTTGTGCGCGGCTGGCCAGATCGATCCACTAGCACATGCCCAACGTTTGACCGCTGGTTTCAATTGTTGTGCAGTTATGCAGTACAGTCAGAATACTCGGGACCTACCGCCCCACCTGCGTCTAATTTTAGTTACCACCAAGCCCCACATTTACGACTGCAATTAGAAAGAAGCATAATTGCAATGTGACACTCCACATCTCTTCTCGCCCCAAAAAAGTCGATGTCTGCGTCTAAAATAAACTAAACATCTACTAGCTCATCACCATCGTTGGCTATGCCTTTGTCGGCTTTATTGTCTAGTTCTCGGCGCCAATCATGGCGGCCGCGTTTAGAGTAGCTCTAGTTTCTATCACTATTTTATCCTGTTTAAACGCTGTATTTCTAAGCCATTCATTATCCTTCGTGGCTACTTTTAAATCAAGGTGGGAACCCCTGCACACTTGTGTTCAACTCAAGAAGAAATGCACTTGTATCGTCAAAAATGTTTTTCATCGATCAAGAATTCC